CAGAATGCAGGAGCCAACTACACCACTTCCTTTGCACATACAGGTAGTTCATATGCAACTGCAAATCTTGCATCCACTTCAAGTAAGGAGGGACCTCATTGGATTATAAACTCAGGAGCATCTGAGCATATGACTAATGCCCTAACCATTTTCAGTTCCTATCAGTTGTGCTTTGGTAGAAACAGAGTCTCTATAGCAGATGGTTCACATATATGCCCATTGCTGGGAAGGGGACAGTCAGAGTGACCAATGATATAACTGTCTTCTGTTTTGCATGTCCCTAGACTTCATACCAACCTACTGTCTGTTACTTCTTTGACAAAAAATTTGAATTGTTCCGTGACCTTTCTTCTTGGTAATTGTGTTTTGCAGGATCTGGAGTCAAAGAAGATGATTGACAGTGATCGTGAGGTGAATGGAGTCTACCTTCTGGATGAGATTCCGAGACATCAAGGCCATCATGTTAGTAGCAACAGTAGTAGTGGGTTAGAGTTAGTGAACCAGATTATGCTTTGGCACAATTGCTTGGTGTAAAGAACATTGATGTGGACCCCACGGCTGTGGTCCCCACTGTGTTCGTATGGTAGTACAACGTGTATTCTTTGTTAGTTATGTCAGTGTTAGTTGGTAGTTATTTCAGTTTTTGTTGTTACAGCTTGTTATTTCAGCTTTATTATTAGTTTATTTGCCATGTAAACAATAAGGGCAATTCAGCCTTTTTACAATTAGTAAACATATAAATATTAAGAGCGGGTCGGCAGATCAGAACAATTTGACCCTCTCTCTCCTTTTTTCTAAAACTCTTCATGTGCTTCTGCTTTTCTCCCTCTTCTTCTTTTCTTCTTTTGAAATCTTTTCTTTTACTTTCGGATTCAAGACTGATTGTAGTCTTGATCGACTACTTGGAATCAGAGCAAGGATTAGGGTTTCTCATGTGAGTCTGATTCAACCAACCACATGAGAGTTGCCTAGGGCTGGGAGACTAAGGAGGATCGACTGATTCTTGGAGGCTACTAGTAGTGTGCGGCTACTACTAAGAAGATTGTA